TTAAATGTAATGACTTGGAGTTCATACGAAGTTACTAAATTTTGATTCCATACAAAATCAAAGGATAATCGTAGTACCATACAAAATAGCGGGGTATTGGTTGAATTTGAATCCATGTACTTCTCTAATTCGAAAGATGATAATCTTGTACTAGTGTCTAGAGCGTACTTTGAGGTTATTTAGAAGATTTTGGAGATTCATTATGTAACGTTCTAAGTGTCTTTACTTAAGTTTAAGTTGTTTAACAATAACACTGACATAGAAACCGATGAATTAAGATTCACACTAGTTGATCTTCAAAAGAAAACTTATAAGAACAAACCATTCACCATGTCATCCCAAGATAAGCAAAAATTTTATATCACGCAACCTTCTATTACAAAATGGTCAATAGATCTACAAGGAAAATATATTCCAAGATAGTGATGAAAATCAATATTTAAATTTCGAGACCCTTTTTATTCCAACACATGTACGTCTGTCATCTGAAGAATTAATTTAGATGATGTGCACTCTATCCGTCGTGATCATCAAGAGGGACATGAGAATGCTAGTAAATAAATATTTTATATCACTTAATGATATATATATATATATATATATATATATATATATATATATATATATATATATATATATATATATATATATATATATATATATATATATATATATATATATATATATATATATATATATATATATATATATATATATATATATATATATATATATATATATATATATATATATATATATATATATATATATATATATATATATATATATATATATATATATATATATATATATATATATATATATATATATATATATATATATATATATATATATATATATATATATATATATAAAACAAACGAATAAGAAACAAAATTCATAAAGAATCTAAATATTTTTTATTCTTTTTTTTGTATGGAATATACACATCAATCTTCATGGATCATACCTTTCATCCCTCTTCCAATTCCTATTTTAATAGGGGTAGGACTTCTACTTTTTCCCAGGTAAATCCTTAACCCTTCCCCCTCTTACTAAGACTACAGAATGTTCTTGTAAATTATGGGCAATACCAGGTATATAAGCAGTAATTACAAATCTTGAGGTTAAGCGTACTCTGGCAACTTTACGTAACGCAGAGTTTGGTTTTTTCGGGTTAATAGTGTCAAAGTTGACAGATAAGTCATCCTTACTGCCACTCTACAGAACCGTACATGAGATTTTCACCGCATACGGCTCCTCGTTCAATTCTTTCGACGTAATTAGATCCTTTATCCTCGTTCGATAATCTCCACTTCTTCCCCCAAACGCAACAAAATAACGAGAACGAATGAAGTCAGCCACGTTTTCATGTTTGAATTGAACACTTTCGTATATATATATATATATATATATATATATATATATATATATATATATATATATATATATATATATATATATATATATATATATATATATATATATATATATATATATATATATATATATATATATATATATATATATATATATATATATATATATATATATATATATATATATATATATATATATATATATATATATATATATATATGTTCTTTTACTTTTTATAATCCTTTTTCTAAAGATCAAATGTTGTTGTTGTTGATGATCCCGATTGGTTTCAAATGTTGTTCAAATTATAGGTGTTTAATTAACGACTCATGACATATTACAGAAGAGATCTTTTGGACGGCTTACAAGACTTTGCATTTTGGTTATTGTTTTTGTTAGTTTTTTTTATAGGCAAAATATTATTAGAAAGAGATTAAGAAAATCTCAATACAACAGGGATACAAACACCGTCGAGTTTAAGAAGTTACAAAAAATCAAACGGAAACTTAAACCAATCGTATAGACTACAATGCTTACTATCCTTCCTTCCTAGAATCAACCAATTCCACGATGAAACTTTAATGTCGATAACAATGTCGTCTACATCAATAGTTTCATTATTGAAAATAATTTTATTTCTAACCCTCCATAAAATCCAGCAAGATATAAACGAAATAGAGTAGATCTTGTTCTCTTTGCACCGGCCCGAGAGACTCGAGTTCCAAGCATTCGCATGAAGGTCACATTTATCCTCTGATATACATCTTATATCTACCCAAACGCAGATCTTATTCCAAACCATCAAGGATTTAGAACACGTGAAGAAAAGATGAGAAGAATCCTCGATGCAATTCGAGCAGAACGCACAATCCGTATACAGGGGATCGTCAATCACCCTTCTTTTCAACAAATTGAATTTAGTAGGTAAACTATCAAGAACCATCCTCCAACAAAAAATTTGGACTTTTGACGAAAGAACCGTTTACCAAAGAGCCTCTAGAATGACATCGCTATCTCTTTGAACATCGTAATCTGAGACAGAAGATGACAGAACATAATAGAATGAACTAACCTTGTACGACAAAGAATCATCAAGAAGCCACTTCCAAGAATCGTCGACATTTCGGTTAGCTACAATTTGATCCAAGACAATCCTACTCTCTGACCACTCTGGTTCAAGACTGGATACCACATCTAACATCAAATATCTCAAATTCCAGACCCAAGAACCATCCTCCCAGGATCCCATCTAACTGACACTCGCAAATTTCCTGGAACATCCCTGAAACAGACGCTGAAATCTACTTTTAAGCGACAAATCTCCAATCCAATTAGATTGCCAGAACACCGTGTCACGACCATCTCCAATAGTGCTAGTCGTGAACTTGCAGAAATCAACATGAGATCTGGTGATTGATAGGATATCTTTCACCAGGTTGAGTCGGACTTCGAGCTGCCCGCATCAGCATAAGTTTGCACCTTCAAACTCAAGTTAACGTATCTGAGATTTAAAGTCTTTCTCCAAATTCCGTTACCGCCTCTTAGAAATCTCCACAACCATTTTTCTAACAAGGCGCTATTAAAGTGGCCAACATGTTTTATACCTAAGCCTCCATGCTCCTTAGATTTGCAAATAGAATTCCATGAGACCCAACATATAAATTTTTTGTTGGAGTTCCCAGCCCAAAGAAACGTCGTTGAATCGCAATAATATCACTTATAATTTTCTTGGGAGCCTTGAAAAATGCCAATGGATGAATAGGCATGTTAACAAGAACCGAGTTAAAAAGGGATACTCTACCCCCCATCGACGAATTTCTCCCAACCCAATTAGAGAGTTTGCTCCTCAACCGAGTCAGGATCGGGGTCCAGAAAGAAAGACGGCGATGGTTTGCTCCAACCGAGAGGCCAAGGAAAGTGAATGGCAGCCTACCAGATTTACAGTGCAGGAAACCTTCTGCGGCAGTAAGGAACTCAGATTCAACTCCTATCCCATAAATGCAGCTTTTAGAGAAGTTAATCTTCAAGCCAGAACTCAATTCAAAAGCACGCAGAATAGCCTTAAAAACCCAAATATTAGAGGCCGAAGCATCTCCTATAAGCAGGGTGTCATCTGTAAACTGTAACAAGTTCACAGTGGGCTGACCGTTAATCTTGAACTCTGATAAAAGATTATCGGCAGTCGCCACTCTAACAACATAAACCAGCCCTTCAGCTACAATAGCGAACAAAAACGGCGCCAACGGGTCTCCCTGCTTAAGGCCTCTACCAACCCGAAAATCTTTCGATGGACTTCCGTTAATAAGGATTGAAGTATAACTATTAAAAATAGAGCCTCGAATCCATTTCATCCAATTAGCACCAAAACCCATCTTGACTAGCATTTCATCAAGGTAAGATCAGTCGACATAGTCATAGGCTTTAGCAAAGTCGACTTTGAAGAATAGACAAGCCTTGTTAAACCTTTTTGCGTAATCTGCTACTTCATTAGCCAACAGAACCCCGTCGTATATTTGCCGACCCGGGATGAAAGCAGTTTGGGACGGAGAAAAGAGTTTGTGAATTACCTTGCTCAATCTAAAAGAAAGCATCTTAGATATAACCTTATTTATGCAGCTAACCAAAGTAATTGGTCTGAAATCTTCAGACTGTCGAGGATTAGAAATCTTCGGCACCAGCGATATGAAAGATGACGCAAACATCTTAGACAGAACTCCTGTGTTGAAGAATTCCAAGATGCAGTTCGAGAAATCCTGACCAATGATATCCCAACAAGATATAATGAATCTAAAGTTAAAGCCATCGACGCCAGGGCACTTGTTACCGTCGCAGATGAAAACGGAATTTCTCACATCAGAAGGGTAGAAGAATGCTTCAAGATAAGTGATGTCCTCCTCACCAAAACAGGTATCTAGAATTATACCACTATTGACTTTAGTCTTCGAGTGCTGCAAAAATTTATCCTTAAAGAACTTTCTGACTTCGAGCTTAATATCCTCAGGAACATTAATAATCCTACCTCCCACTGTGATAGCTGAGAGGTGGTTCGACCGATTCCTGTATTTCAGAGAGTCATGAAAAAACTTAGTATTCGAATCACCATTTTGCAACCAACTGATTCTGGATTTCTGGGCCAGCATACTCTCTTTGATCCTCATATTTCTCCACATCTCCTCCTGATACCGAGTCTTTTCTCTGACTATATCATCATCACTGAAAATTGATCCGTCGACAGATAATTACTCCAGCTTATTAAACTCAACAATATTTTCCTCAATATTTAACTCCAGCCAGCCAAAAACATTATGATTCCATACTCTAAGATCTGCTTTCAAGGCTTGAAATTTCTTGGATAAGATGTTGCAATACGAACCTGAAATTTGGTAAGAATTCCACGATTTCAACAAAAAAGGGATGAATTCCTTATGATAAAACCAGCAGTTGAAACACCTAAAAGGCTTAGGTCCCCAATTTACGAAGTTGGACTTCAGCCACACCGGTCGATGATCCGATATGTCTCAATCCTCCACCACTTGGTTCTTCAACGAAAGCAGAGATATAACCCGGTCATCAACCAAAATTCTGTCAAGTCTACTTCTGCTCTTACCATTTTAGTTGAACTAAGTAAAACGACTTCCAAAAACCGGCAGGTCCGACACGTTAAATTCTTCAATGAATTCATTAAACTCCTTCATGTCCCTACTGTTATTACCACTAAGACCTTGTCTTTCCTCCCTGTTTTTCATCAAATTGAAGTCACCCCCCACAATCCAGCCTACATCAGGGTAATTACTTTTAATATTGATCAAATCTCTCCACAACCTTCTCTTATTTGCTGGATCGCAAGGAGCATAAACATTGATAACAACCAAGTTATGATTATTCCAAGCAAGATGCAGGCCTAAGAAGCCTTTCCCACTGAAGCTAGATAATGCTGAGATTCTGGTAGTATTCCACATGGAGAGGATACCACATGAATTGCCAACAGAGTTCTGAGCTGACCAATCCTTGTCGACAATACTCCACATGCTGTTAACAGTGCCAGCTTCCATCTTATTACACTTAGTTTCCTGAATCATGAAAGTATTGGCATTTCCTCTTTGAATAATTAGAGAAATTCTCCGTCTCTTCACGGAACTACAACATCCTCTTACGTTGAAGGTTACAATATTCATGGATCACCTCTAGCTACATCCTTCTTATTAAGAACAACCTCTTTATCTTCCATGTCCAGCTTCCTCAAGATAATCCCAAGATTCTCTTCGTATTTGCATTGAATTCCCAGAGCATTAATGTAATTACCGAGTTTTGAAGGAATATCTTCAATAGCTTTCCTGCATCTCGAATTGCCTCTTTCCACATCAGTGTTCATAATGGAATGAGAAATAAAACATGAAACAATAAGATGTTGTAAAAATTTTAATACGATGAACAGGAAAAACCCCCAATCCCTAACCCTAACCCCAATTTCATAATCCTACCCCTGATTTCGACCTCTGTTTTCTTGATTTTCTGTTGTTACCCAGCTGCTTGTTTCGATTCTTCGAAGGTTAGGAGGTTATCTTCGGCTTAAATTCCTAGCTTTCGAGTTTAGGGGCCTTGGTAATCACCTGATTTTCTTAGATTGAACTGCGGTTATTCGATGGTTTGGGAAAAGGTTGTTAGGAACGTTAGGAAAGGTAGTCATGGTGGTTTCTCAGTATGGAAGGAGAACAGAGGTAAAGGAGATATTAATGGTGATAATGCGACCTTTTTCTTTGTTACTGCATTCCCAGAAAAGTTGAATGCTAAATATTTGTTTGAGGTATTCAAGGTCTATGGAGTAATTTTTGAAGTATTCATTCCCGCTAAGAGAGATAAGCGAGGTAATAGATTCGGTTTCGCAAAATTTTGAAAGGTACATGACCCTCAAATTCTGGAATGCAATCTTGATAGCATTGTGTTGGAAGGCAAGAAGATCTTTGTGAATATCCCCAGGTTTAGTAAGGAGAACAAGAGGACTTATCCAAGCAGCGAAGTTTTGAGGAGGAATACTCAACCTGATCATTCTGGGATTCTTAAGAAACCTGCCAAAATGTCTAGGTCTTTTGTCAGAGTTGTAAAAGGAGACTACCAAAACTCTGAGGTAGATGCTAAGGGAGTGGTTCAACCCACAATTCTAGAGGTGGAAGATGAGTGGTTAAGGATATTGAATCGTATGAGAGTGGGAATTGTTTTGGAAGATGGAAATGCTTTCAATATCCAGAAGCTTTTATACGAAGAAGGTTATTTTAGTATCAAGGTTACCCCTCTGGGAGCTTCCTTGTGTTTGTTAGAAGATACTTCTGGAGGTGACTTGGAGGTTTTCATCAAGGAAGCTAGCGAATGGCTGGACATTTGGTTCAAAGATATTCGAATATGGAACCTGAAGGAAATTGACAGAGACAAATTAGTGTGGATTAGCTGCTCTGAATTGCCTTGTGTCGCCTGGAATGAGAACAACTTCAGACTTATATCCTCAAATCTGGGATCCTATGTCAAATGCGACGAGAAGACGTGGAATAAAGAGAGCCTGGACATAGCTAAAATTCTGATTAAAACTAGTTTTAGGGCTATTCTGAATTTCAAGGTTGATATTGTGGTTAGTAATCATCCTTTCTCCCTATCTCTATCAAAAGATTTTTCGTCTAGAAAAGGAGATCCTCTAAATGGTGAATTAGATGAGATGATAGACTCGGATGAACTAGAGTCCTCAAATCCATCAGAACCCAATGCTGATTGGGAGTATCACGAGGAAGAAGAGAGTGTAGATAACAATACTTCTGTTTCCCAGACAGAAGTCAGATCTCCTCATCCTGAAGCTCAAAAGGTAGATTTTAATCTGTTTGCCTCAGATAGTGTATCTATTGTAGGGGAAAGCATAGATCTTATTGCGGAAGGTGAAGGGACTAGAGAGGTTTCATTTAAGAATCCAGCAGGTCTGAATATCTCAAGAGGAGCTTCACCTGTTTTTGCTGCGGCTGATTTGGATTCTCATAAACCTATAGTTGCAGAGGTAGATCTCAACAGGGATTTGGTGGTAGATATGGGCCTGCATCTTCCTTTTTGTGGGCCTTCTGAAGGAGGCTTTGGGCCTGATTCTAAAGGCAAAGTTAAAAAGAAAAAATTACTTCATGAGGTGTATAACAGTATTAAGATACCCTACACCCACTCGTATTTTTCAACCCTGCTACACACTACCCCAAAGGACATTTTTCGCCCTGTGCCGAAGGTTAAGGATAAGAAGGAAAGGAAGAAGGGCAAGCTGGCCAGAGAATTTCCAAGATCTAGTCTAATTTGTTTTTGTTAGTTAATCATTTGTTTTAATTTTATTTTGATATAAAATTATAAGATGTATATCATTTTGGCTTTGCAAATTATGTGAATAATGAATACATTTGATATAATGTTTCTATGTTATTATTTGAGAAATGGGCATAAGTTACAATGTTTCTATTTTAGAAATGGCGAAAATTTGGATTCGTAATACAGATTAAACCAAAATATAGAAAAATAAAAATATCAAAAATAATATTAATAATAATAATAATAATGATTTTCCCTCAGTTAATATTATAAATCTAGGTAGTAATATTTTTCTATTATCTCGAATTTTCTAATAACTAAGAGAAAATGAGAGGTGTGTCATTCCGTTCTGAAAATAATAAATATACAATAGCTGGTAATTGAACTCATGTGCAGAACATTTTACTCCCATATTACTCCAAAATCGAAGGATAAAATGGGAAGTTTCCATGACGTCTTTCGTTATGACGTTTGTGAAGATTAATTTTCCTTCGCGTCCGAAATTAAATATATACTTTTTAAGGCTTAAATATTATTTTAGTCCTCCTAAATATATCAAATTTTATTTTTAGTATCTCAAAATATTTCCTTTAAAGAATGATCCTTCTAAAAATTTTCATACACATTTTTGGGCTCTCCTGCAACTTAGAGACAGACTTTACAACATAGCGACTAAATTAACAACGATTTTAGCGACCGAATTAATGACAGTTTTAGCAACGATTTGAGTATTAGAGACGAAAAATATTTATGAAAAATTTTAAAGAAATAAAATATCTTAAAATACTAAAAACAAATTTTAAAATATTTAGAAGGACCACCGACATATCTAAACTTTTTTAATACATTAATTAAAAAGACAACATACAAATCACACTACTTTTCCCACAGACTATATTTTGGAATCAAAACAACTAGATTTGCCAACCACGAACATATGTTCTTTTCTTTCACTTTATTCGGCTAAATCCTAAGAAAACATTTTTGGAATCAATAATCAATAATATGATGTCAGCTTTAACTATAAAGACAAAATAAATAATATATAAAAGGCTTAAGCTTGGTCCTTCTTTGGAGCTAGAAAAGTTAGTATATGTGATCAGCTTCTTATTAGTGAACAGAATAAGGAACTTTTGTTATTTGAAAAGGGTGGAAGCTTTACATTAGAGGATGTTATATCTAATTCAAACCTTATTTTCTTAATTGACCTGTGTTATATAAACTTAAGAAAATATATAAACATGAGAAGAAAAAAAAGGTGCAGTAACTAATTATTAGAAGGAGCTTGAGTAACAAACATGACATAATTTCTATAAACTAATTTTACCAGTTAACTTTATAGAATGCTTGTCCGCAGTTTGTTGAAGAACAACATTATTGTCAATTATAACAACATTAACCACTTCAAATTGATTAATTATTTTGCATTGGTGATTTAAAAAGGATAATTTGCATTCCAAAGATTAAAGACAACTATAATATTGTTGTAATCCTCAGGATGCAAATTACTTAATCCTTACCCAATATTTATACGAACTTCACCATGAAGCAACATTCCAACAGTAGAAGATGAAAACTATCTAAGTAGACGTCACAGTTATGCATTGGTGATAAGAAAGAGATAATCCGCATTCCAAATACAATTTGACGACTGTTGTTTTAAACCTCAGGATGCAGATTATCACATCCTCACCCAATCTACTCCCAAGGACTAGATACAGAAGTAGTATATAGAAGATGAGAGTTGTAGAAAGAGCATCTGCAAATACTCTTAAGAGAAAAGTAGCTTGAATTATGTTGGAGTGAATAATATGCATTATCATCATAGGAATTTATAACTTCCCTAAAATATATTATGATTAGATTTTCCAATCATTTTCATAAAGATTCTTAACTTGACTGCTTTCTTTAAAAGTGTACAGATCACTTGTTTTTCCGATTAGAATAGATACCAGCAAATGCAAAGCCAGAAAGCTTCACAACGTTGCATACCTCTCATGAGATTAGCTAGCTTTACGGAAACACTTCTTTCTCATAATACTTTCTGCGTATGTCCTATAGTTGAGGACCAATAAAAGGTTTATTCTTAAAATTAACTTGAATGGTATAAAATTAACTTGAATGGTATAGAATATCTTAGAATATAGGAGGACCATTTTGTTCTTATTACTAACTTATAGCAATAAATGAATATATTCATGATCATTTTTTATGGTGTAAATTACATATTCTACTCTAGTAATTATAGAGACTAATTTCTAAAACATGTAGGTCTAAAATATGCATTTTCAGGATTTTATTTAAATTTAAGACTTCAGATTTTCCTAAATGATAATAAACCCATAAATATTAACTTTTATAATATAAGAAAGGATGGTAAAGGAGAAATTACATTTCTTTTGTTAATATCATGAACGATGTGCATTACTCAAGGTCGGTTTTGGAAGGTGTTGCTATGGAAGAGCTGAATGTTGCAGATATTAATACTTATATGTTGGAAGTATTAATACAATAAATCATTGATACAGTATTATGAATATAAGACAAATGGTGAAGCTTTGGGAAAACAATCAAAAGAAACCCTAACCTCCATATTTCAAGCTCAAACTTAGGAACAACAATGTTAGTGAATCAAGAATCAAATAATATTCATAAATGCTGAAAATGTTACGATAAAAATAAGGGTATGACAAAAGTAGGAATTTGGTATTGCTCCAAAGCCCTTAACTAGGAATGACGTTTATAATAGAAAAAAACACATTAATGTTATCTTCAGAAAGAAACAAAAAATTTCAGTGGAAAAGAATATTTGGAAAATCAGGTCGGTGCTATTTAATCTTCCATATTGGTC